TATATATAATGAACTCATTGGTGGGCTGAACTGAAGTTCTGGCCTGCGGGCTGCCAGTTGTATAGCCTGATCTAGAAACTCCAATCAGAAAAGTCGATTTTTCCAAATAAAGTTGAGAAGTTATAAGGCTTTTAAAGTTAAAATATTCAAACTATCTGGATCTTTTGTTTTTGCCCTAAAATGTTTTATTGATCACAACTGTTAACTTTTCTTTTAAACTTTGCTAATACATTTTCTTTCTAAACACACTGAAGGTCTGTGTTGTACTGTGCATCAATGCTCCTGGTTCACCTGCACAGCTCTGTGCTAACAGACTTCTTGTCTCTGTTTGCAGTTATTGTAGCAGCGCTGAGAGCAGAGCAGGAAAATGTGCCCCATTCTCCACGTACATGTCAATGTAAATGTCACCTCTGCAGCACACTGTATGTGTGTTTTAGGGGGGTCTGTAGTTCAGTGGTTACAGCAGTTGTCCTTCAACAAGAGTCATAGGTTCAATCCCTGGCAGTTTGCAGTCACATGTTGACATGTCCTTGGGCAAGACATACTGTACCTCTTCATTGCTTCATTAATGTACAAAAACAATCTTAAGCACTGATTAGACTCTATAGAATGATTTATTAAGATTAGCTTTGTAGAGATGTACTTTGTAGTAGAGTTCTGCATAGATATGGGTACGGGTAACTGAGGTCACAGACGGTGTTGTAATGTGCTTTAAGTAGCCAAGTTGGGTAGAATGGTGCTGTATAAGTACAGTTCATTTACCATTTACTGCATGTACAGTATGTCCTACTCTAACAGTGCCTCTCTCCTCCCAGCTGATAACTTCCCCAAGTGAGGAGAACAGCATGTATGTTCAACAGAGGGATGAGTACCTGGAGTCAGTGTGTGAAATGGCCATAAGGAAAGTCTCCATCATCACCATCTTTGGCTCTCTGACCAACTCCACCATGAAAATAGACCATTATCAGATAGGTGAGTACTCCGAAATGCTGTTATTACAGTAGAATGGAAGGCTTTGTAACTGTTCAACATGTGAACTTCTTTGTAGCAATAAAACAAAAGTTGAGAAAGCTCCTAATTTGAATATGCAGAAACAGATAGATAACACACACACACACAGTAAACTTCACAGCAAGGCTGATAAATGTTACAAGAATTTATTTATGACTTATTTACTGATCAGAAAGGTATGCTGCATTGTCAGCCTGGCCATCAGGCCAAAACATCTTTATTTTGTAAGGCAACAATAAAAAATCATCTCTAAGGAAAATTATTCAACCATGTCAAAATGTTTAATATTTGGTAATACCTCTTTTTAACTTGTCATTCTCTAAATAGTTCTTTGGGTGACAACAAAGTCCATGCTCAATAATCCAGGTATACAATCCAACATTTTTCAGTCAGGTCATCTGGATAGTTTTTTTTTGGTGCTGAAACATTTCAGCACCAAAAAAAAAAAAAAAAAAACTGTCCAGATGACCTGACTGAAAAATGTTGAATTGTATACCTCGATTATTGAGCATGGACTTTGTTGTTTTCAACCAGTTTGACAAAACTGTCAACAAGGAAGAGGGCCGGCAGTGGAGGAGGGGGCGTACCAAAGAGATCATCTTAGCACCAACATAACTGGTTTGTTCCACTTTGGAGTAAACTGTTGGGGGAAGAATCAGTTTTGTGTTGTGTGTTTCCTTGACTGATGAAGCCTTCCGGACCGAAGGCGAAATGTTTCAGCACAAAAAAAGAAACTTTCCAGATGACCTGACTGAAAAATGTTGGAGTTCTTTGGGTGGTTTTCACCTGTTTATTGTTTCTTACTTTTATCTTGTAAAACTTTTCATCCCCTTAAACATTTTGCAAACTGCTCATTATTTATTTGACAGCATTTGTATTATTTGATCAGCAAAGCATGGACACTTTGTTCTTGCAAAATCACATCCACTGTAAAACAAATGAAAAAGTCAATTTGAACAAGTATAAATTGAACCCTCTTTAATGCCACGTAGGTTACAGCAACCATCCCTTCCCTAAACAGAATGTTGTTGAATGACATCATTTGAGCTGCACTCTGTTCAAGTTTCTCAGTTAAAAACAGGCTCATTAAATTTAAAGTGAAGACAATCAGTAATACACACAATGTTATTAGTTAGCAACATGCTTATCTCTGACAGCACTACAATGTTTTCCACAGTCAGTGGCTCAGTAACTGTCTTTAAATGATACTGCAACTCATTATTTTGGTATACTTGACAAAAATCATACAATAACCACTCTCAGATTATATTATATTTTTCAAATTCCAACTTTCTGGCATTAAGTAATAATAAAAAAGAAAGAAACATATCTAATTGTTTTAGTCACTCACAATTGCTTTATTTTAGATCAAGAGGAAAAAATGGAATCTCTAATATGCAGTTCTAAAATACACACCTGCATTAGATTAAACCAGCTTCTTAGACATGTTTTTAAAAAGTGCTCACACAATGGAAAACTGTTGCACAAAGAAGATTAACAGTACTGACACCACCACAAGCGATATCAGTTGAAACAAAGGAAAGGATTATGAAACATTTTAAAGTTGGTAAATCGTCACATAATTTAGACAAATATATTGGTTGTTTTCAGTCAGTTGTGTCTAAAATCTGGACAAAGTGCAAGCAAAATGGGAAGGTTGTAAAAGGGAAGAATACTGGTAAACCAAGAAAGACAACGTCCTGAGATAGAAAACTTAAATCACTTTATATGGAAAACAGAAACTTTACAACTGAACAAATGAGAAGCAAGGGGGTAGAAACTGGATGTCTGTGGCTGAACTGTAAGGAATTACCTAAAAAACATGGGATTTACATACAGAAAAATCTAACAAAATCTATCATTAACACCCAAACAGAAAAGCACAAAGTGACAATCCATCCATCCATTTTCTTCCACTTATCCTGGGTCGGGTCATGGGGGTAGCAGCCTAAGTAGGGAGGCCCAGACTTCCCTCTCCCCATCCACTTGGACCAGCTCCTCCAGGGGAATCCCAAGGCGCTCCCGGGCCAGCTGAGAAACATAGTCCCTCCAGCGTGTCCTGGGTCTTCCTCTGGGTCTCCTCCCAAAGTGACAATGAGCAAAATAAATCATCATAGACATCGACTGGATGAAAGTGTCAAGTCAAGAGTGATGGCAGTCATTACATCTTTGAGAAAGGACAAAATCCACATTGTAATTTTGGACCCATTTCTTATTCCATAATTTAAAATTATGTTTGGTGAAAACAGACACTTCACATAGATACAAGATACTCAAGTTAGCTGCAACAGATAATTAAAGCTTGTGTGGTAGCACATGGGGGTAGAGCTGTCATTTCTAACCCAACCCTGGAGCCCGGCCCCACCCGACCCGGAATCAGACCGGACTGGGCCATAATAATGTGTGGGCTGGGTCAGTGTCGAGCTTTTGATTGTGTTAGTGGACGCGTGCGGCTGACGATCCAATTATATGGCAACATGGCTTGCCATACAATCACCAGCCACACACGACCATTTGACCGTGCACTGACCAGCCTTGAAAGAGGTGAAAAGTTCCGCCGCTAAGCTTCAGATAGACTACTGCCAGTGATCCATCAGTCCAAATGGACGTTCATTCAGCCACTGCACTCAGCAGATACGTGTGGCCAACAACCCAAACAGGTGAGATCCCAAAATATCTGACATGTCAGAGCAGGGTCCGTGTCTGAATAATGCAGAATGCAGGCAGAAGCTGTCACGGTCAGCGGCCCCCGCTGCCCCCCCCATCTGCCAAGCCTCTGCCACCTCCTTCAAGCTGCAACCAGAAACCAACATTTATATCTTTAAACTATCATCCCACAGTCTTAATCATTTCCTTCTATTTCAAGTTTCTGTCTCTGTCTGCTTTTTATATTTTTTATTGTTCTGCTTTGTGTGTGATTTTCTGTTTATCTGTTTCTGTTATGTTCCTCTCATTCCTCAGTCTGCTTCTCCACTCAGTCTTTATCATTCACACCTGTCCCTCATCAGCCACTTGCCCAGGTGCTCTCATTACTAACTCTCCCTCTGTCACATAAAAAGCCTTTCTTTCCTTCACTCCTTGTCCGGTGATTGTTCTATGTTCTCAGACTTCACAATCCTCTTCTGCCTTGCCTGGTTTCTGCCCCCCTGATGATCTGCTCTGCATTATTTCTGATCCAATCTGCCAAAAGTAAGTTTTGCTGCACCGACAGCCTTTTGTTTTGTTGTTTAAAAAATAAATTGTTTTGGTTTTTTGAACTCCTGCCTCACTCATCTCTCTGCAATTGGGTTCCAACATTGAGGTTCGTGACAGAAGCAGGGATTTAATGCGCTTTGATGGCCATGAAAGGACAAACACCCCCTCAGCTCCGATCTTCTGCCTCTTTTACTCAGCCGTGCACGTCCGCCGACCGTTTATATAAGTTGTCAAAGCTTAATTCTTTTTTTTCTTTTTTTTCTGTAATTACAGTTAATTCGACGGATCGGATGGGGTTCGCAAATGATGGCTATGGGCTGGGGCTGGGTTGGGTCGGATTTTTTGGGCCTGAATGCAACTCTATCTGAGGGTCAACAACCAATACTTGTGCCTCAAAGTGTTTTTATCCTGTTATCAAAGTATCTCATGAAGAAACATCTTATCCCAAGATAATGCAGAAAACCTGATCCAAGCATTTCACTTCTAAACTGGACTATTTTAATTTTTTTTTTATTCTCTGGGTGTTCAAAAAACTCTTTAAAATGTCTTCATTTCAAAATGCTGCTAGAGTCCTGATGAAATTAAGAAGCAGAGGTCATATTTCTCTCATATTAACTTATCTGCATTGACTCCCTGTCATATTGGAAGTAACTTTTAAAATTGTATTTTAGTAACACATAAAGATCTAAACAACCACGTCAAGCCACCTTTACATTAAAACAACCTTGTTTCATTTTTTTCCCAACAGAGCACTTTGCTGTCAGACTGCAGGTTTACTTGTGGTTCCTAGAGTTTCCAAAATGAGAAAGGAAGACAGATCTTTCACTTCTCAGGCTCCTCTCTTGTGGAACCAACTTCCAGTTTCTGTCTGTGAGGCTGACACATTGTCCAGTTTTAAGACTGAGCTTAAGTCTTTCCTTTTTGATCAGTCTTATAGTTAGGATTGACTTGAGTTTCTTGAGCTATCCCTTAGTTATGCTGCTATAGGCTTATACTGCTGGAGGACAAATTGAGCACATTTCCTCACTCTGGTGTTGTCTTTACTCGCACATGTTTATATCGTTTATGTTTATACTTGCAATTATTTCTATCATGATCATATTTTTCTTTGTCCTTTTTCCTTGAGAAAGCAGCTCTGGTCCAGACATTCTGTTTGTGTTTCTCTCCTTTCTTCTCTAATCCCAGCCAGTCAATGCAGATGGGCACCCATTCTGAGTCCACAAAATTGTGAAAAGATCAGATATGCTTTATATGTATCAGAAAAAGAAGTTAACTACATCCAGATTACAGTTCATGCTGTGCTGATGCACCACCCAGAACAAGTTACCTGTCTGATGTTGGACAGGATTACATGACCCACTTGCTGATATGCAAACATCCCACGAACCACTCAGTGCAGTGCATCTTGGTATCATGAGACTGTATCACTTTGCCCCCCCCACCCCCACCCCCAAACAAAACAAACAAACAACTAAAGAACTCAGCATATCTATAGTTGATTTTTATGACATGTTCTGGGTCATTTGTGTTTGGTCCCCCCACTGAATTTAAAGACATTTTGTGGTTGTCTCAAAACCTGAGCTTTGTTAATTGTGTGTTCACTTCATGACATGCACAGCTCTGTTGTCTCAAAACCTTATTTCATACAAAAATAGAATGCTAAAAAAAAACCAGCCAAGGTGATGTCACCACTCTCCCACAGTCTTTATCCAAATCTGTTGGTTTTCTTTTTCCACTTTCTGGTTTGAGCCTTCATGTGTATGCACCACTGCCTGTAATACTCATGTTTTGCAGACATAAATCCATTTACACAGTCACAAAGTGGTCACACAATGTGGCTTCCTTATGGGAACGAAAAAGAGCTGACGATGATGTAGTTTGAAGGAGCCACTGGTGCAGTTTGCTTAAGATGAAACTGTGTTAGGGCCAGCTGAGTGTAAGTCATGGTAATATATTCTTCTCTGAGGTGATGGAAACATGACGTGTGTGTCTCTGTGTGTGTGTGTGCACGTGCTTTTTTTTTTAACAGTTTGTTCTAGTTTTATTGTTGAGCTGGTCAACAGCTTGTTTTATTTTTGAACAAATTCAAGTGCATTTTTTCCTCTACTTCTGTGAATAAAGTCTGAATTTCCATCTAGTTTACTGTTTTTCTCCTCTGGTTTGTATAAAAACCATCACCAATACTTTTCTGCCCAGTCTGAAGCTCAGTATGTCCCTGATTTACTATAGTTACTCCCATTCAACCATTTAAAGCAGTTTGCTTTACCATCCTGCACAACAATAAACTGAATATTACAGACTAACTGTGTCCATCTTCTCTCATCCTTTTCTCCTGTTGCCAGCAGGACCCAGTTTACAGAAGCTACTATGTTGTATTTTTATTTCTATAGATGTGGCACTTCATGTCCTGCCTACTCCCCTGCACATTAAATAACTGATTACAGCTAAACCTAATGTAAAATCTCCATGTAATGTAAGAACTACTTGAATCAACAAGAGTCAGTGCCTGAACTAAATGATCTCAGATGCAGACCAAGGGCAATGTTCTGTTTAATTATGTGAACTTTTACTGGAACCAGCCTGCAGGAAATGTTGGTCCAGTTCTGGCTTCAACTTCCAATTTCAGGTCAGAAGTTGGTCTATAGTCTATGTGTCTGCCACATTTTCAACAAAAGATTGAAGTTAGCTTTGCATAATATGAGAGTAAAGTAAAATTTATTGTTCAGTGATTACATATCTCAACATACAGCATAATGAACACCGTGACACTTTAAAGAGACAATACAAAAGAACTGTGTGTTGATTTTTAATGGCAGAAAGTAAATTTCTCACTCAATCTGGTGTCTTTCTTTCTTCAGAGAATGACAAACCTATGAAGGTTCTTCGTCAGGAGGACCTCGTGAACCAAGACCTGATCACAGAGCTGAGGAAAGAGTTTGGAATGACGTACGATGAGTTCTACATGGTTCTCACAGACACCGACATGAGAGTTAAAGTAGGAACTTGTTCCTTTCTCTGACCCAATGGCTCTCTGGTTAATGTGCGCCATCTGTTTCTGAATCTGTATAGTTTTTGCATCTAAACAATAGTTGGATGAGCTACCCACAAAAGGAACCATTTCTTCTGATTGTTTACCTTCTCTGCCATGATTAGATTCTCCCCCACTGCTTATTTGCTTTGCAGAAATTAGACGTTTAGAAAATCACTTTATTAGTATCAAAGTCAGCAATAACATGATTTTCAAATGATGATAAATCCAAGATGCAGACAGGACTCCAGGCACGGATGTAAAATGAAACTAATTAATTAACCAAAACAAAAGGCTGCTGATTCAGCAAATCTACTTAAGAGTCCTCACAAAGGACGAGCACGAGGAGGGAAACAATGTAATGGAGTACCAGGACTGAATAAACAGAGCAGGGACAAATGGGAGGTGTACACACCTGGGTGACTGAGTTGGTGCAGACTGAAAGGAGGACACACTCACAGTTAGCTGAGGGCAGATTAACAATGGTACACAGGGAAATATGAACACAAGGTTAAACTTGAGAATCATATACCCCCCCCCCCCC